CCATATTGAAGTAACCTTAGGGAGATAAATGAATTTCAAAGGTAAATAGAGAAGCTCATGGCCAAGGGATATGTTAGGGAGAGCATGAGTCTTAATATAGTTCTAGTATTATTGATGCTTAAAAAGGATGGTGTTTAGAGGATATGCTTTAATTATTGAACGATCAATAAAATTATTATAAAATATCACCATCTCATACTTAGATTAGATGTTATGCTTGATGAATTGCATAGGTTTTATGTATTTTGTAAGATTGACTTGAAAGGTGGGTATCATCAAATTAGGATGAGAGAGGCGGACAAGTGAAAAACTCGCTTTTAAAACTAAGTATGGTTTCTATGAGTGGTTGTTATGTCAATTGGTCTCATTAATGTATTGAGCACTTTTATAATATTAATGAATCATGTCTTATGTGTATTTATTGGTAAATTTGTTATGGTGTATTTTGATGATATCCTAGTGTACAACAAAAGCTTAGATGAACATATTGGTTATTTATGTAGTGTTTTAACTGTTTTGCATGCTAAAAGGTTATGTGTTAACCTCAGAAGTGTTCCTTTTACAGTAATCAAGTTGGGTTTCTTAGTTATCTTGTAAGTGTTAGAGGTATTGAGGCGGATGAGGAAAATCTTAGAATAATTCATGATTGGCCTATACTTAAGTTAGTTAGTGGTGTACATTATTTTCATGGTCTTGCTAGTTTTTGTAGATGCTTTGTTAAAGATTTTAGTACCATTGCTGCACCATTAACTAAAGTTGTTAAAAAGAATGTGAAATTTAAATGGGGGAAGTGAGCAAGTCGTGGCTTTTGAGTTAATTAAAAAAATTAAGTTCTAACTTGCTTTACCTAACTTTGGTAAAACATTTTGAGATTGAGTATGATGCTTAAAGTATTGAAATTAGAGCTTTCTTGATACAGGAAGGGCAACCTATAGCTTGTTTTAGTGAAAAGATAAGTGGAGCAACTCTAAATTATCCCACCTATGACAAAGAGATGTATGCATTAGTTTGAGCTTTGGAGATATGTCAACATTACCCGTGGTCTAAAGAGTTTGTCTTTCACACGGATCACCAATCCTTGAAACATTTGAATGGCCAAGGAAGCTAAATAGGGACATGCCAAATGGGTTGAATTCTTTAAGACTTTTTCTTACTTCATCAAGTATAATAAGGTAAAGAGAATGTGGTAGCTAGTGTATTATCACATAGGTATGCCTTTATTTTTACACTTGATGTAAAGTTGTTAGTGTTTGAGCACATTAAGGATTTATATGCTAATGATTTTGACTTAGCTAGTATTTATAGGGTTTGTGAGAAATTTTCCTTTGAAAATTTGTATAGGCATAAAGGATTTTTATTTAGGAAGAAGATATTATGTGTATTTATAAGTTCCTTGAGAGAGCTTGTTATAAGAGAAACACATGAGGGTGGTTTAATAGAATATTTTGGTGTTAGGAAAACTTTATACATCTTAGTTGAGAATTTCTTTTAACCACACATAAAGCGGGATGTTGAGCGAGTGTGAGAAGTGTATTACATTTAAACGTGTTATGTCTAAGGTTTTAACCCACGACTTTTACACACCTTTACCCATACTCGTGGCACTTTCGGTTGACTTATCCATAGATTTTGTGTTGTGGTTACCTTGGTCAAAAAGAGGAAGGGATTCTATTGTCATTGTTGTTGACATGTTTTCGAAGATGACACATTTCATTTCACGCCATAAAACCAATTATGCTAATAGCATTGATGACTTATTCTTTTGAGAGATAGTGCATTTGCATAGCATGCCTAAAAAGGATTGTTTTAGATTGAGATGCCAAGTTGTTAAGCTACTTTTGAAAAATACTAGAGGCGTAAGTTGGGTACTTAATTACTATTCTTTACTTCTTATCACCTACGGACGGATGGTCAACTAGAGATAATTAATCAAACTTTTTCTACTTTGTAATGTACTATCATTAAAAGGAACTTGAAAACATAGAAAGATTACTGCATATAGAGTTTATATATAATAGGATTGTTCATTCTACTACTAATTACCCTTAATTTGAGATGGTATATAGTTTTAATCTTTTAACTCTAACGGATTTAATACCTTTTCCTATTGGTGAGCATGTTAGCCTAGATGGTGAACGCAAGGCTGAAATAGTGAAGATAATGCATAAGAATATGCAGTAGCAAATTGTAAAAAGAATTGAGCAATATACATCCCATGCAAACAAAGGCTACGAGAAAATGGTATTTGAACTAGGAGATTGGTTTGGGTGCATATGCATAAGGAAAGGTTTTCGACCCGATGACGTTCTAAGTTACAGACCTAGGAGAGATGGACCATTTTAAGTGGTTAATTGTAAAGGTCAATGACGACACTTGCAAATTAGATCTCGCTAAGTTAGTATATTGTTAGTGCTATGTTTAATGTTTCGATCTTTTTCTTTTTGATATAAGTGATAACGAAGATTTAGATTCGAGGATGAATCTTTTTTAAGAGAGGGGAATGATGGAAGTCAAGCCAATAAGACTATAGTGGCATGACATCAAGAGTGCAAGTTGACCCATCGTATGTTGGAGAAGGTCTAATCATACGGCGAAGGCTAAAAAGCTAAATGAGGCTTTTAATAAACTTGTACAAGTAAGTTGAGCCAAGTGTACAACTAAAACCACGTCCAAGTACCTATGGAGAACTTGGTGAATTTTTTCAAGAAGAGGAGTTTCCAAATGTTATCAATTTGATCCAAGCTACAAGTTGGATTAATTAGACCTATTAGTGGTTTATTATTAAGATTTTAAATGCTTTAATTGAACCAATCCGAATTTGTTATTTAAGCCTTTTTTCAAGCATGTTTCAAATTTTGATAGTTAGGAATAAGTTATTCTTCAATATCTTAGGAGATTTCAATATTTTAGGAAATTATTATATTTTAGGGATTGAGACATAATTTAGGCTACTAGGGTTTTGTCTTGTATTCAATCTATAAAAAGGGTTTGATATGTATGAATTTTGACAGCTTTGATTTTCAATAAAAGTGAAGAATTTTTCATATTGGTTCTCTTAAAAACATATAGAGCTTATCAAGTTTTAGTTGATAAAACTTGTGGCATTCAAAGAGATATCACTCCTTTTTTTGCTTGTTTGAGTGTGGTGCCTATTTCTTGTTTTGCCTATGGTTCAATTCTTATTGGTTTAGTGGTTCATAAACAATCTACAATCCGATTTCTAGCTTTCTTGGTAATGATTCATCTTGTTCGTGAGTTTCTAAACAATTGATTTACAAGGTTCACATAAACTATAATCATGGTGCCTTCAAGTTACACACTATTAAATATTTTTATTCATTATATCATAACAACTTATCTCACCATGCATTAATTTAACTAATTACATCATAATTATATTAGTTACTAATATTATTGTACAATTACAACTCAAAAAGATACATTGTTCCTTGAAAAAAGAAGTACAAAGACTATTATGTATTTGGTGCGCATATTTTTCTATTTTTCTAATCAAGTACTTCTATTAGATTCATGCAGTATATGATTGTTAAATCGACACATTAGTATGCCGACTCATCTATCACGTAAGTATGAATATTTCATTTTATTTATAATTGAGTGTCAATACTTTTTTTATTTTTTTATTTGAGTATACATAGTTTTATCTTTTCTATTTGAGTGTTTGTACTATCAAAAATTTTTTTATGAGTGCTATTAATTTTAAAATTTAACAAATATTCACTTTGCAATCTTATGTGCACATATTTTGTCCAAGTGAATTAAAATTAAAAATTAAAACAAAAAAATATTTTTTTTCAATTTAAAAAGAACATAATAATAAAAGACTTCAAAAGAATAACTTGTGTTGACCGTAACTAATCGTGTAAGAAAATCAAGATTAAAAAATAAATAAACTAACAAAATAAGTACAGAAATTATAGGTTTTTGATGGAGTTTGGTATGGAAATATATACGTCGGTGCATGAGAGATCAAAAATTTTATTGAGAAATTGAAATATATAAAATTGTATAAAAAATGTCATCTTTGTTGTATGATGAATTTACTAACTTTCTTACCTTTTAAAATCAGTGGTGGAAATTTGTTTGATTTTTGAGAAAGCAAAAGAAATTAAGTAATTTGATTTTGTTTTAAAAAATGAATAAATTGTTATTATTGTTTGTTTTAATTTTAATTTTATTTAACTTGGGCAAAATATGCCTTATGTAAGATTACAAAGTGGATACATGTTAGATTTCAAAATTAGTAGCAATCATTGATAAATTTTTAAAAATACATACATTTACAGAAAAAAATATAAATATATATACTCAAATAAAAAAAATTAAAGCACTAACACTCAATAAGAAATAAAATAAAATGGTCATGCTCACATAAAGGATATGCTAATATACTAAAGTGTCAATTTAACGATCATGTCAACATGAATTTAACAAAAATACTTGATTAAAAAAAATTAAAATTTTGCATACTCAAATAAAATAAAAATAAAAATTGATATATTTGAATAGAAAAAAAATTGAAAGTTCATAAACCAAATATGTAATAATCCCAAATAAATGCTAACCATTTTGTAATATGTGAGTGATTATGAATTGTTAAGTAGATTTACTAGATAAACCGTAAAAAAATATCTTATATTCTAGTAATTTAACTAATTATTCTATAATTATGACAAATTAATACAATTTGAATAAAAAAAAGGTTTCTTATTAGATTAGAGAAGGAAAAAAATTACTAGTTGAATGCCAAAAAAAACAAAATATATAAGATTTTCAATAAATAATTATTTACACTTATTACATATAAAATACTATTTTATTATTTCGTAAATTAAAAAAAAAAACTATAATTATCATGGCATGAAGTACACAGCAAGCCCCATAAAAAACATATATGTATATATCAAAACTCCAAAAACACCCACTTTATCCTCTCGAAACCCCTCTCTCTCTCTTTCGCTCTGTCCCCCCGTGTAAAAATGGCGTCGACTACTGCTGTATCTTCTCGCTTCACAAACCTTAACGGGCTTTGCGACCGGAAAAAGCCTTTCCCTTCTTCAGTTCCTCTAGGTAACTTCACTCTCTCTCTCTGATTTCAATAGCCCTTTGTTTGGTTCATGGAGGATTTTTAAGAGAAAAGTTTGAAATTTCCCTGTCTTTAATTTCTATCTTAGTGAGACTGTTCATGGGTTTATTGTTTTTGTTAATTTGGGGTTTTAGTTTTTATGATAAAAATGCTAAATTTGTAAGTGTTATTGACTTTAAAAGTTACTAGTATTTTTATCTTTTTCAATTGCATTTCTTGAAATGATTGAATTAGTTCGAAGAATGGGGCTTTAAATCAGAATTGGATTATTCTATAATGGGTATTTTGGATTTTTTGAGTGGCTGCTTGTTGTACAAGTGTTAAGGTTTATGCCCGTTTTACATTATAGAAATGTGGCTTTGAGAAACTATTTTGTTGTTGTTGTTATCAAAATGGGATGATCAAGCTAACCATTATAGCCAAGTGAAGGATAGAATAATAACGAACTTCAACATGAGAAAAAAGTTCTTTTGTTGCGGAAATTGTCTTTAATGGAAGATGTAATCTATGATTTGGGAAAATGTTTCTGTATCTGGTTGAAGCAGCTTAATATATCTATCCACTAGTTGAGGATTGTGTATGAGTATGTTACAAAATAGCCGTTTCAAATTATTGTTACATGAGATTGAGGGAACACATAAACCCAGAAGAGAGGATAAGAAAGAGGAAAAAAGAAATGAAAAATATAGCAAGGGATTTATTTAATAGTATCTTTGTATTTTTAGAGCATTTGTAATGCATCATTATTTTTTACCCATCATGTGTCATGGTTTCTTCTCCCAATTTTCCAACAAGGATCAAACTTTTCTAGCATTTTCTTGTATGTTTGTTGCTTTCCTGAACCAAAGATTCCTGTTAGTTTGTTTCCTTTCAAAACTTTGTTTGCTTGCACTTGTGCTGCTCATGGTTGTATCTATCATTAAATATGTGGGTTTACTTTTTTTCTTTTTTTTCCCAATTTTCTCTTAAGCTCATTGGATATATACTTGCATAGTTATGGAAATTTTCCTTATAAAAAAAATTTATGGAACTTTTGGCTTTTGAACTACAAGTTACATGGTTATGGTTGTACTAGTTGGCTCTTAAAGGAGTTAACCATCAAGTTCTTTTTGTTTATGTGCTTTTCAAGTATACATCTCCATTGCACTTACTCTTGCTTTTGTTCATAATATTGTGTTGCTTAAGGAGAAATTAGAAAAGAAAAAAGCCCTTAAGCGTTAACATTTATCATATTGTATGGCTGCCTGGACATGTTGGAATCGGGAATTTTGGTGGCGGTTGGTGATATTGGAAGATAATTAAGATTACAATTGACAACTTATTGCTATCCTGTCGTTCTAAGTATTGAGATGATTCAAATTTTCTTATCTAGGTGGTTCATAACTAATTGATTGTTTATGCTTGCTTCTGTGCATCATTGCCTTTTCTGCCTTGTGGATTGAATGTGGCAGGAAGGCATTATAGGTTGGAGATCATCATTTGAAATTATGTTCCTTTTACTTATTTGGCATATACTGGTTTCTCAGAAACTGTTTGGCTGGATGCTTGTCCATTCTTAATATATAATATTGAATTTTTTGTAACTGTCTTCTACCACTGCATTCAGGTAATCTAAATTTAAATGCAAATGTTGTTGGTAAGCAGCTGTTGTCTTGGTCTGGAAATCAGAAATTTGAACGTGATTACAGATCTTTCCGTGTGTATGGTTTATTTGGAGGGAAAAAGGAGAATAACGAGAAGAGCGAAGATGCACCTTCAAAGGTAACCAGTGAACCTTCTTCCTCTATTCAACCTTATGTTCACTCTGACTGATTGTTCTGTGCTTACATTATGCTTAGTAAGATGATATTCTCTCTTTGTATACTCTAATATTTCCCTATGGTTTTTTCATTAAAAAAAAAAAAAAAATTCTTAGTGTTTTTCGTGTCAGTCCTCTAGCTTTAACATTTTATTTTGGTAAAGTATAATATGAAAAGGAAAACTTGCATGCTAATGCTAAGTTCCTTTGGGCCTACCTATACCATGTTTGAAAGAAGACAGGTTAAAATTATACTGTAGTTTATTACACATATCCTTTATGTTAATGGCAGCTCTCCATCAGAAATATCTGGGTCTTGTTGATTGGTTCTAATAGTTGAGAAGGTGACAATTTGGCTGTACTACCAACCATATATGAGAGCTATTTTTGTGTCAGATCTTAAAGCGGAATGACATCATTTTATTAGAATCTTGCCATTATCGGCTGAAATGTAAGACATGATATTGTAAAGTCACATGCAGGATGAGAGAATAGATTTAACATGGTACTTCTGTTAGAGATTGCAAGATTGCAACCCAGTCTTCCTTCTTGAGGAAGTTATCCTTAACCTGAGGGGATTTGGAGCTTGCAATTTGGCATAATTGCCTATTCGTAATCTAGTTTCTCAATTATCTCAAAAAAAATAAAAATAAAAAAATAAAAAATGTTGAACAATTCTATAGCAGTGCCTTGCAAGAAATTTTTGCATTTAGTAATCACACTTTTTCTGTTGCAACTTCTTTATTTAGAAAGATAGATTGTGATCCTTCTTTTGACATGAGTTCTGTGATTGGCTATAGGCAGGAATTTTTGGAAACATGCAGAACTTATACGAGACTGTAAAAAAGGCACAAATGGTTGTCCAAGTTGAGGCAGTTCGGGTGCAAAAAGAACTTGCCGTGTATGGCTGACATATTGAATCCAATCTTATCTGAATCTTTAATTTTGATGCCTCTGTGAACTCCTCAGTTAGCTTCTTTTTGTTTCATTATTTGCAGAGCAGAGTTTGATGGCTACTGTGAAGGTGAGCTGATCAAGGTATGCTATTCTTTGTCTGTGCGTGTGTGTCGGCATATGTGTGCTGGTGGCCTTAGTATTTCATTTCTGATGGGATAAAGGAATTTAAAACCACTATCTCTTTGTGCAATTCTTCACGGATATGTTAAGGAAATTTATATTATCAGTTATAAATTTCTAAGTTGTACAAAAGATAAAGCCGAAAATGCTATGAAACTGAAATAAAAAAGAAGGAAGTATCTATGAGAACAAAAGGCACTTATTCTGCAAGTGCCAAATTCAGGAACAAGCGAATATGGTGTTGTATGCTTGTTGCTCTGTTTCTCAGGAGTGGCCTTTTCTTGTTATAGCTGTTGAGAAGGCCTAGGGTTGTGTTTTAAAAGGCTGAAGTGAGTGCTACATAACTGTCAATAATGTAAGCATTAGATGCATCTCCATTGGTTTTCATGGAAGTTTTGAACTGTGATCATATTTTGCAGGTAACACTCTCTGGGAACCAACAACCTGTGCGGACAGAAATAACTGAGGCTGCAATGGAATTAGGAGCAGAAGTGAGTACTCAAGTTACCTGATTATATATTATTTTGTTCTAAATCACAAAATGATGAATTCTTTCATAATTATTTTATCAGTTCTTTCTTGATGATGTAAATGAGTGTATTTGTTCTTACTGTATGATTCAAATGTGTGTTCGTTTATATGCAGAAACTTTCACTTTTAGTTACTGAGGCATACAAGGATGCACACCAAAAGAGTGTTCAGGTAGAGTCTGTTTCTTTTAGCACTGAAAACTCCCTTTCCATTTTTATTGCTGAGCTAAAATCAGGGCATCATCATCTTCTCAGGCCATGAAAGAAAGGATGAGCGATCTTGCCCAAAGCCTAGGAATGCCACCAGGAGCTGGTGAGGGGTTAAAGTGAAGGTGCATTCTGCCATACTGGTGTCCGACATGCTCTTCAATTTTGTAATTGAACCGGTTAGAAGTTTTTGTACCATGACGGGAAATTTATTATCATGTTTATCCAATAACAGTTTAGATTCAAAAGTAAAAGTATTCTGAAATTCGGGAACTTTGTTGTTGTAACATGCAATAATAATTGGTTGTGAAACTGAATCAAGTAATTCAAATTCTATTTCATCCCCCAAAAAGAAAAGAGGAAAAATATGACAGATTAGTAGAATTTAGGCAGTGTAGTAATTATACGTTTTGGTAAAGGTCTGCTTTTCCATCTCTTCGTTTAAAGACTCCAGTAAGAATGACCCAACGTTCCTCATACATGGATATTTTTTTTTTTTTTTTTTTTCCGGAGGTGGTAGTGTTATGTACATGTTTCACTATGAGAAAATTTCCCTTTCTACGTTATACTGTCGTCATATTTGCTAGAACCTGTAAAATTTCCATTTGGTCAATTCATGTTGTAGGTGCTTTTTCTAGGAAGGGATGCAATAACCTGGTAGACAAGTAGGGTGATATGAATGCAAAAATCTTTCTGCCATTGACGTTTTTGGCTACCATGAGCGGCAGTGTTCCTGATTGGCAATTTTGTTTCTCCGAAAATCTGAAAATTCTTCTGCTTGCGTTGAATATTTTATAGATGGCGTGAATTTGATTCAGTGACCACCTGGAATGACAATTAGAATCCGTCTATGGAACACAATAGAACAAGTTGCCATGAAAATATAGTTTTCTACTTTGAATGAATGATCCTATCCTAGCTGCCTCACCATCAATAATATGGGGTTTCTACTGATTTATGGATTGTTCCACAAACCAATCACTTTCAATCTCTTGCTACTGTCTCTCGAGTTCTTGTCGGGATTTGGGCAATTCTTTCCCAGCTAAGAATGATCTGAAAAGAATGAAACCTCTTCTAGGTTGAAATAATGGAACTTCATGGCCTGCTCCTCTAACAGTTGCAAAGGTTAGCCCCTTGTAAACTTCTGTCCATCCTCCCACCTAAAATAACGTAGATTTGACTGTAAGTTCATTTTTAACCACTGAAATCAAACTTGAAGAGCAGTTAAAAACTCATGAAACACATTGCGCATTACCTGGTCCCCCGAGTACCAAGGATACCACCTGGTTTTAACTGGGAGATTTAGGTGACTCAGGGAAAACCTAGTGGCAGTCACCGGAACTACTGAATCTGTGTCACCACTGCATTAAAAGAAAAACACAAGCCATTAAAATTACAATAACTACAAAAGCCAAAAGGTTAGGTATATTGTGAAAGCAAGCATTAAATATATGATAATGAATGAATGATGAATTCCTGTCTTCTAAAGCTGACACTCTATCACTCTACCTTAGCAGGTGGCTGTGAAAAACAATAATTATGGTAAAAAATTTCATGATCGACCCCAGTCGAACAACCAATCAGAAGCTCCTCCATAGTGTCAGTCAAAATCTCTAAAGTCCTATGGCTTACAGTACCAGAGCTCACACTCCAAGAAATTGGACGATCAGTCAATAGTTATTTATTTGATTTGACATCTACCACTTTTTGGAAAAAAAAAACTGTTTATCTTTCTGTTTAATAATTATTAATAGCATAATTATCCAATGATGTAAAATTTGTCAACTGGAACACGTAGAAAATTACCTGAAAACCCAGATTCTTAAACCAGCCGCAATTAGCTCCTTGTATATGGGTAACACTGAAGGTTCAGAATCCTTCCAGTTTTTAATAAGCACATCACTGCCAAATAACAAATGTTATCATGCTGATCAAAGAAGCAAATATCATTTCTTTCTTTATTTTTTATTTTCAATTGCCACAGATATAAAGTAATTAATAGAGATACCAAGATATACCTGCAAGCAGTCCATTTATAAGGAATTCCAGTAACATTGGCATGCATTGCCTTTTGGACTTCAGGTCGATTATAGTATTTTTCTGCATAATTCTCACTGCAAGGATCATAACCAGAAATCCTTCTACGCAACAGAGTATTTTTTAACCTCATAGTAGGATTTGGCAGTTGCATGCAAGATGGTGTATAAATGCTGTATTGATCAATATCCCCAAATTCATGGTTTATTGCATAATTCACAGCATCATCACATTTTTTAAAGGCTGCGTCTTCTGTGAAATTGCAATTGTCAATAATGGCTCGATAAGTCCGATCGGATATCATTGAATGTGTCCACCAAAATGCAACAGTTCCTATGCTATCATAGTTGCTATCTGTGACTGCATTTCCCACCTGTATAAATATTTGATCACTTGAAACTTGATGTTTTCTTGAATTTGCTATCTACTTAGTCTTACAATATTTTTCAAATTAGCAAATATATTTTACTCACAATGAATCCTTGAAGATTGATGATGGGATGTGGGTACGCTTTATTATAATCGTGGATTTTCTTTGCCAACTGGGGAACATAATGCCCTATTTGCATGAACACAAGATTAGAACACTAGTTAGACGTCCAAACTACACAAATATCATTCCAAGATTTTTAAGAAATAACTATTTAATTTCTTTATGCAGTGCTGCTTAAGTACCTGCATAACTTTCACCAGCAATATAGAATCCTCTATATTTGTATTGAGGAAATCTTGACATCCATCGAATGAGAAAAACTAGAGCATCCTGAGCTGTGTCACAAAAAGAGATAGATTCTATGATTACATGAGCATGATCTTTAAATGGGTAATAAATGTAATTGTTAGATGATATAATATATACCTGTCCTTTTGTCACCAGAATCTTTAAGATTTGAGCTTGTGTTTGTGTATGAGAATCCCACACCAGCTGGTGACTCCAGGAATAGAATATTTGCTTCTGTAAGCATATAAAGGAGGAGTGAATATTTCTACGTTAGAAAAATTTAACAAAGTAAACTATGCAGGTAAAAAGTTCTTTTATCTGTGAAAGAAATCAAACAAAAAATATTCTTGCATGATAGTTTAATCTTTTTTTTTTTTTTAATTACCTCTATTCCATGAATATTTGTTCATATAGAGAGATAAACCAGTTCTATTCATCCGAAACGGTCCGATTTCTTCTGATGCTCCATACGCCACCGATGAACAACCTGGTCCTGTACACATATGATTAAATTTTAGACCAGTGTGATTAACTATTTTCGCCAATACTTAACTGGAAGTTTAAGACTGAAGTTTAAGTCTGACGGTGACATTGATAAGCAATTTCAAATTAATTAGGCGTAATATATCAGTCTTCTTAACACAATCATCATTTTAGTTATGAATATCAGTATTACGAAAAAGTAACAACTAAGATCATTGGTTTGCCTTCGTACTAGATTAAAGTAGGAATTATTCACAAAAAAATAGGGCCATATAAATAATTGTCTGACAGAAAGGACAAAACGGATTAGGCCCTACTGGACATGTTCCTATCATGCTTCTCTCCCTGTTTAGCAAGGTGAGGTTGCGCCCCAGTCTAGTGATGCAGAACTGCAGAAGAAAATTTGCCAAAAAGCGACCATTTTGCTGCTGCTCTTGCAGTCCTACATCAGCCTCTATTTATTTATTTTTTTGGGGTCAGATGGTATCCTCTGGCCAATCCCCTAAACCCAGATTCACAAGTCCTAATTATTCTAAAATGTCAATAATTGAACTAATTTTGGTAAGATCTAATGTCAGTTTATTGTTTTAGTAATGCACTTTCCAAGTGAATATGACTGCATAATATATCGATTCATTCTTTCCGCAAACAAAACCAATTATTTCTTTGAAATAATCTGCAACTGGTGCCCCTGCACAGTTAGTAAAACCACATTTTTTATACAATAAATAAAGAAATGTCATGCTAATTGTTACTTCATTTTATATATTTTGTTCTCATGCATGCATGTTTCAGGTTCCATTATTATTAATACACGAGTGACCACATTAGTAATTATTGTTCTTTCTTGTGCTTTGTTTTGATCTGAAAATTTTCAAATTCCTCCTCCATTTCTGGGTCACCAGAAATCATCATCATCGTGACCATTTTCTTCTTCTGAATGCGCGTGCTTCAAAGAAAGAAGTGAACAAAGTTACATAAGACTAATAGTTGCCACAAGTTTCTATCTTTTACCCCTTATTATTCCTTCTCTGTCTCAGGTCAAGTCAAACAAGCAAGACAGAAACACTAGGTAGAGAAAAAAGAGAAACAGAAGCATCTTTTATCTTGGGATGATATGGAAACTATCGAGGGCAGTTTTTTTTAGACAAAAAGGTTGGTTCGCTTTATGGTGGCTTTTTTGGTGTTTTCTTTTGCTTACTTTGTGATCCACAAAAAGCAAAAGAAAGTGGCTGAAAAATTTACGGGGTTTATCCCTTATAAGGAATTGGGCCGTTTCCAAAGGTGGAATAACGTCAGTTCCTGAAGGAATAAAACCCTAAAAAGATACAGACTGAGAGATCACGAAAGCGCATGTGGCTTTTTTTTTTTTTTTTGGGTTTCGGTTGTATCTAATAGACTACTAGTCGTTTTTACTATCTTTCTGGTTGACAATGACGTGCAAATTTTTTAGAGTGGAAATATTGGGGATTTTTGCTAATAGATGCATCTGCAAGAATTAAAGGGCACTGTCTTATTAGAATGGGCATCAATGGCCGAGGCAGAGTGTGTTTTGCGTTGATTGGGGCATCTACAAGAGGTTAAGCACGAGTAGGAGACTGCATAGGCATGCACGCTTCCTTCATTTATTGAGAGGCACAGGTATTTTGGCTCATCATCAAGGCATCATATAAAATAACATCAACAATTAATAAAGTGAGATAGAATTAATTAACAACTAATTAGCTTCGTAGAACACTTGAAATTATGTTTGATTTTATTACAGATTAAGTGAAGCCAGCTTCATGGTTTTGCCTACTAGCTACTTGGTTGCATCGTTTGTTTTTTTGTCGAAATCATTTCCATAACAAAGGAAGCCAATAAAATCCTTAAGTATTTTGCTTAAAGTCAACCATACCATGCTATGCAACTAATTAAAAAAATGCAGTAGAAATTACAACTGATTTAATCCCAAATATCACAATTGTGAAAATAATCTTTCTCATTAATTTCCTAGCTAGGACTTCTTAATCAATATTAATGTATTCTTCAACGTTATTAGTTTGACAGCCAAGGAAATATGTAAGGTACATTTAAGGATAAGTATAATTTAGGTAATTAAACTGACCTCCATTGAGCCAAAGAACGAGAGGTTTCTTGTCAGGAATTGTTGTAGCTTCTGTCAACCAGTAAAAGAGTGCACGCCCATGTTTCTCATTGACAGTAACATAGCCAGAAAACTGTGAAAATGTGACTGGTGGTTGACCAGGGAGAGCTGAGATTCGATCTAGTTCTTGCTGTTTCGTCAAAGCAACAATGGTGATGATGAATGAAGATATGAGAAGTAAGGACAAGATCAAGAGATGGGGTTTTATTTGAACTCCCATTGCACCTAGCTTCCACAAAAAAGAGAGAGAGTCCCTTCTCTCTTTCAAGAAACTATGAAATAGTAGATACTGTCGCTATGAAATAAGACAGATACTGCGAGATATTAATGCATAGAACTGAGTGAAGTTATTGATGCCTCAATTACAGGTTTCTAAGGCAATTACTTCTAGTGTAATGTTGCTGCATTCCTATTTACTACACCAGAAGTGCAGGTAGGGGAGCTAACCGGACCACCCTACTCCCTCTCTCTCCCTCTCTCCCTGGGATTTTTGAGAGAAAGAGACAAGAGAAAGAAGTGGGTATCTTGAAGGCAAGATAAGCCTAGGTCAGAACTTGGTTAGGAACCACTCAGAGAAGGGATCATAAATGCATCACAAGTCCCTCTCTCTGTCTGAGCTGTACACAGTACTTGAACCAAACAACTAGAGCTCACCAATGTCTTATTTGTTATCTTTTCCTTATATTAAGAAAGAAACTTGTATTAATTTGGGACCAACTTAAAATTAACAAATGCTTAAGGGCAGGTATTAATATGTATTTGTCAAGGATTTTTCTAAATTATCTCCCTTAAGAAGTAGGAATGTATTGAAATTTTAACATCAAAATTTTCTTGCCTATCCTTAAGCATTTGTAATTCGTATACAGTAGCCCACCTAACACTATTTTTCACAACTAATGCAAACATTTTATTGTTTCTTTTTTATTCTTAATTTACAAGCCTCATGATAAGCTTTAAGCAAACTACTGTTCAACTGCATGCTCTCTCCCTTTCTCTGTTCTCTTTGTGGTCCAAATCTGAAGGTTATACAAAATAAGAACTCATAAAGAATAATGGCTGTGGGGTTGTGACTCCTGTGATCTCTAACGACCTGTTTATTTGGTTTCCCGAATATGGCATGAAAAAAAGGTGGTAGCTAGCTACCTAGCATGTCCGATCAATTAGGGTTTCAACTTTCAATTAATATCTGAACAAAAAGTCCTTATCATGCACGTCTTAATTTCTCTCGAGAGAGAAAAACTTGCTAATGCTTTCACTTGACTAATTGGTGAAAGCCATAAATTGTACAAGTAAAAAATAAAGGCAAAATTACGTACCCACTACCTAACAAATAGCTGCAACTTATCCATACAGGAGAATTAGCATGTGAGGTTAAGTAATAAGTTGTAAAATAAACTGAAACTTGATTGTTTAACGATTAATATTGATGAGCTTTGGGGGTTTTAAATGGTTGACCAACCTTCTAAATTAATAATCTTACAATCTTCAGTTACACATATTGTAATTATTGGAGGAGTAGTTAACAGATGTTCACCAAAACAATCACCTTCCATGTCTGCAAAAACGACAGATCATTAACTAATCGTGACTGATTTGTGTATTTTCATAAGATGCATTTGGCAAGATCTGGTGGTTAATTACTGTACTTGTTATGATTGATTAACAAACCCAGCTATAGGCTAATAAGTTGTTGGTATAATAATAAATGAATTAATTCCACACGAATTTTTTATTAATATATAGAATTTAAATTTTAAAATCACATTTATTAAAAATAATTAAATTTTATCGTTTTTATATATAATTAGTCCCATCTCCAACTAGAGATGGAGATACTTAATTAGGTGAAACTAAAAAAAAAAAACAAACGTAGTTAAAGAACAAATTTGCATATTCTGACGTTTCTATCTCTGATTTCAAACTTATAGTCAAGTTTGATGAGCACGAAATTTCAACTTTTTTTCCCTGTTTCACCAATCTGTCGAATATACCTATTTCTATGTTTTACTATGATTAGACATTGTTAGATTTCGTACAGAAGTTTCAGAGAAAATCTAACCAAGCATACGGTCAAGATTAAGCATATGCGATTATTGACTTTAAGTTTGATCTTAAATTTGGGAAGGAATCATTCAATTATGAATTAAATGCAACAAGAAAGGATCTCCTTGTTAAATTGACAAAGAAATACGTGCCACATTTGAAGATCATCATTCATGGACTAATTATCAGTATTTTTTTACGTATCTTCATTTTATATTAAAAATATGACTAATTATGTTCAAGACATGAGTGACATCGATTAATCATTCTCAATAAATATGACTTCAAAATTTGAATCTGGTACATTGATAAAAAATTTATCAAGAGACCAACGGGCTTACAACTTGTCAGTTTTCTTTTTTCTTTTTACAAGTAATGATGTATTTTTGAATTAACTTTCACATCAATTAAAACTAAATCCATCACTTTTTAGATGAAGCCAACACTATAATACGCTTAGCCTTTAATCGACTAATAAGATCTCTTTTATATCAAACGAGTTCAAATATAATATTATTAAAAAATAATTATACATAGTTATTATGAGTCAACGATATTTACTTTAACATGTTAAAATCAAATTCGCTTTAAAGAGTACCAAATAGTTAATTGATTTGCAGAATCACTTGATTTGTTTACAATGTATTGGATCAAACTCTAGTCATATCTAAGATGGGGACAAAAATTACTCTGATCAGAGCCTAATAAAAATCCAAATGAAAAGGAAAAAAATGCATTTTATTTTGGAACCCATTCTAAATTTATAATGATATGATCTAATGCATGCATCATCTCATTCCTTAAATATTGACCGTGATTTGAGCTAATATATACATTATACACGCATTAATGCTACCATGCAATTATCCAAACTTGTACTTAATTATAAAAATTATAAAAAGACAAAGAGTCCATGTTTGAATAGTATAACCCCACATACAATAGTCAAATAGTGGAACGCAAGGCCTCAACAGTCAGAGTCAGACCTAATTATATGATCTACTAGGTTGCTTGCATTGTAAATAAATTCTTCAGATGAGATGAGATCTGCCCATGATTTCCGATATGTGTTTCCTCTCGCTCTTCACTGGTTTTTATATATTATATCGACGTGCACACACATGCATGCCCTAGGTAATGTGAAAGCAAGCCTGCAAATTCGCTTCTGATCTGCAAGAGAAGCATAATATATATATATATTGTAATTTTTTTTCGTTTCTCATTGTCAGTCTTCCCTTTGATTCGAAGCCACTGCAGTGACCGGAAGATCCAAAACCAAAGGTTCAAATTAATGCGATCAAACGTAAAAAATAAACATAGTTATTTATTTTATTTATTTATTATTATTATTTTTTGCATATATAAAAACTTAAAAATTAAAATCATTTTTTTAAACGATTAGAAATATTTTTTTCAAGTAAACTCTATTGGATTAAGCTTCGCATGGTTTAAATCTAAAAAAAGTGAAAATATTGTTCATAATTATGAATATTCATTTAGCTCGGTATTATATGGCACCTACTATATATAATGTCAAATATCAGAATGCGGAGAAGTTATGATAGGAAAATAGTAATGCCATTAAAGTTTCAAAGCTATTTCACCTTCCATTTGTCCTATCCATTAATGCCATCCTCTGATGATTTTGACTTGCAAATTGGAGCTTTTCGTTTTTCTTTTTTGATATATTGGTTAATTTGCATTAAAAGTATTTAGTTTGCTGTTTATCAAGACACCTTGGTAATATATGCTTGTGGGATGGGATAGAATGGAATGTAAGGCTTTGGTTTAAACCGATTAACCAAATTAATTTAATAGAAATTGAAATATCAATTCGGTTAAAAAAATAAAACTGAATTAATTTTGATTTGGTTTTTAGAATTTTTAATTCGGTTTTCATTGAAAACAATTTTTTTTTATAACATGTTTTGAATTTTTAATTGTTATTTAAATTTTGGTAATTTGATTTACAACATATTTGTATAATCAATATTTTTTATTAATATATATTTTAAATATGAATTAGTGTACTTGTATTTAAATTTTGATATTTTATTATGTAGTATGATTTTGCATTTTAATTTTATTTAAATAAATAATTATTATCTTTTATATGGACTACTTTAGATCATTTAGCATAAAAAAAAGCTTTACAGTACATAATATAAATTTTTTTTAGTCTATTTATATTATTTTAAATTTTTTTAAAATATTCAGTTTTTACTAGAAAGCCCAAAATCAAAACCCAAAACTAAGTTTTGGGATTTGCGAATAAAAGAACCAAATAGAAATTCAATAAAGGTTCGATTAAAAATCGAGTTAAAATACCCCTTAAAAAAAGAAAAGAAATACTCATTCTTACGCATGTTAAGTGGCCTATAGGTATGACATGAGTTTTCCATCCATCGGCTCCCAACGGCTACGGCGCCGGCCTTTGACCACATATACATTCATCTTATCGTACCTCCACAAACCTTAAGAAATAAGTAGTCGATGCTGAAGAATTTGGAGAACGGCCGGTATTCAATTGGAGCAGTTGAGCTTGAAGATATATATATAAAAAAACAATATATATATATATATATATATATATATGTTTTTTTTTTTCCTTTTTAGTGCAACCGACACTGTTTTTGGTACCCTTTTCTAGATTGACAGTTAATTACTCGTTCCGGATTTAAGCAACCCAAATTACTATATTCATACAAATTTTCTAATCTCCAACATCTTCCTCTAGGATTCCACTTCACATGATAGCCTAGGTTGTGTTTGTTTCAAGGAAAAACAAGTTCTATAGGAAAATCAATTCCCGAGAAAATTGTTTTTCAAAAAATTATTTTTCAAAAAACATATTTTATATCATTTGACAATTACATGAAAAAATTATTGAAAAATATATTTCAGCGTTTATTTGATACAAAAAATTAAAATACAAAAACATATGTGATTGTTATATCAAAAAGTTTTGAGAAAACTTTAAAAAGACATATTCATAATTTCACAATATAAGATACATTTAGAAAAAATTAATAAATTTTCATAAATACTAATTCTAAAATTTTAATTCAAAAAATAAAATGTACTTTTTTTAACTATCAAACCAATTCATCAAAATTACTTGAGAAAAAATCAAGTAAATATTCACATTTAGTAAAAAAAAAAAAAAAGATTCTAAGT